CACCATATTCTCCAGACCTGGCACCATCGGATTATTATTTGTTCCGGTCACTCCAAAATTTTTTAGACGGTAAAACCTTCACCTCAAATGAGGAGGTCAAAAACCTCCTCGATCAGTTTTTTGCCAGCAAAGACCAAAAATTTTATGAGCGTGGAATTATGCTACTACCAGAAAGATGGCAAAAGGTGTTGGACCAGAACGGTCAATATATAATTTAATAAAGTATTTGTTTATTATACGAAAACTGTCTTTCATTTCCACAAAAAAAACGAAATGACTTTCCGAACAACCCTATATAATTAGAGGGATTTTATACTTTGTTTAAAGAATTTTGAGAGTTCGGTTGGTTTAGGACAGCTTTTAGAGAAGTAAGAAATATTTTCAAATAGATGTGGTTGAAACAATATATTTCACAGGTTCATTAAATTACACATTTTCGCTTGTGCCTATGTTTCGTGGAAATGCTACTTGTAACTTTGACAAGAGCTCACTTTCTCTAATAAACTTTTCAATGTTTTTAACCGTATATTAACCAAAAAAACTATGGACAAACTTAATGAACACTTAACAATTAACACTTAGAAAAGGAAGAAGAATTAATTTAAGGACATAACTTAGCTAGGATAGATGAAATTTGAGGAGACTTCACGAGAGTTTTTCGAACACTTGTTTTTGTACCAAACAACTCAATTTATAGAGTTCAACCAAAATGGGGTAGGGGTGGTACCACCACCCTCATCTCTTTTACCGAAGACACTTTGATGATAATAATAATAATAAGGTTCTAGGACCTTGCGCGGACAGCAAACCTTAAGACTATTCACTAGGACCAAACCGTCTCATTGTTTTATTTATATGATATAATTTGAAACCGTGAGGGTTGTTTAACGTACGTGTTGTATTTGCATGTCCGATTTCAGGAAGCAGGTGAAATTTACATAAATGCTCCCATCGTAAACTCCTTGTGTGCATTATGCGTAAATCCTCGTCGGTCCGATCTTGCGATTTATGCATCACGTAGCAAAATGTCGAGTAACAGCTGTTGTTCTTTGCTTATTCTGTGTGGTCCTCGTAATGTCTTCTGTGTACAAATTAATAGGCCGGAATGTCAAACATTAAGTGATTTAGAAGGCCACTCTGCTTACTTCTGGCGACTAATTGTCCTGACGTAAACACCAGTTCCACCGGCTTCCAAATCTATTCCGTCTTTAATAACATTAATAAATAAGTAATTGATGATATTCTACAACCGATTACTCGATTATTTTCATTGTTTATGTTAATCGAATATTTAATCGATTAATCCTAAATTTTATAGCAGTATTAGAATCTAGCAAGGAGGAGTTAGATATAGCTTTAAATAAAATGGAAGCGGTACTGACAAAACACTACTGTATGAAAATAAATAACTAAAATAGTGGTATGCAAGGGAAGAAAACGTAGGGAAAGAGCGAATTTAAAGATAGGATGATAGATTAGAAGAAATAGCCGATTTTAGGTATTTAGGAAATCAGATAAGTCAGGACGGAAGGAGTAGTAAGGATATAAAGCAGGGTCGAGTCGCCTTAAAAGAAGTCACTTCTATACTCGCGAACGATTAATTTAAAAATTCGAAAAAGGTACGGGTGCGAATCATGGACGGTGGGCGCGGCGGAAAAGAAAAGGTCAAAGGCGTTGGAAATGTGGTGTTACAGGCGAATGATGAGGATACCGTGGATAGAGAAGGTTAGAAACGAAGAGGTATTAGAAAGAATAAGAGAACAGAGGACTCTATGGAAATCAATAAGAAATAAGCGAGATACCGTGCGTTTCAAGAAGTTAGAGATATGCCCCTTCCCTTTATTAGGATGCGCAGTAGCATAACTCAAAATTCAATCATATTTGTCTGCGGAGCTCATTTCTCCACCGATCATCGAGCGAGAACTAGACAAAAGTGTACAGTACCATTTGCAAAATTATTTAAACTGGTTAGTTAAAATTTAAGAATATGCTTTATTTAAAAGCATATTTAGCCAAAAATAATAACAAGTGAATTAACTTAACGTTCTACACACCTATAAAACTTTTGCTTTGTTTTCTATTGTTAATTTATATACATTTTTGTTTTAAGAAATTGCTAAACATTTTCGTCTAGTACTGAACAGTTCTAGCCGATCTCCTAAGACCGCCCATCGAAAGCTCTTCTCGTTCAAACTCGTTCCAACTATTTCTGTCTTGCTCACGCCTAGTGTGTATTCTTTCTATCTTCGCGCAGATTTCTTCAAAGTCACAATTCTAACAAATTGAAATGGACTGTAGGTTAGTAGGATACCTTCTCAGGCATGAAGGCCTAGTCAAAGACATATTAGAGACAGAAATGGGAGTTAGGAGGGGTAGAGGTAAACCCAGATTAGATTACTTTTCGCAAATAGTTAAGGACGTAGATTGTTATAGTTTTAGGGAAATTAGAAAAATTTGGAAATTCGAAAAAGGTGTATGTTTGGAGCACGGCGCTGTATGGGTGCGAAACATGGACAGTGGACGCTGCAGAAAAGAAAAGGTTAGAAGCGTTCTAAATATGGTGTTACAGGCGAATGATTGATGACACCGTGGTTAGAGAAGGTTTGAAATGAAGAAGTATTAGAAAGAATAGGAGAACAGAGGACTCTATGGAAGTCAATAAAAAAATAGGCGAGATAGGTTACTAGGACACCTTCTCAGGCATGAAGGTTTTGTCAGATACATATTAGAGGCATAAACAGGAGTTATTAGGAGGGCTAAAGGTAGATCTAGACTAGATTACTTTTCGCAAATAGTTAAGGATGTGGGTTGTTCTAGCTCTAGGGAAATGCGAAGATTATCTCAGGATAGGAAAGAGTGGAGATGCGTGTCCAACCAGTTTTAGGACTGACGACTTTATGATGAATAATCCTTAGCCTTATCTTTCCAATCGAAAATCGATTAATTGAATAATGATTATTTCCCTAATGACCAATTCCATTAATCCATTAATTACTTATTCCAATTTACCTGAACGATTAATCGATTATTTCGATAAGTGTTTTCTTACAATCAATAGCCGATTGTTAAAATTATAATCGTCCAATTGTAGTAATAACTTTTCCTTCCTTTCATCATCTCATGATGATTTACATCAAAATCTGTCCCGAATTAAAATTGAAAAGCACGTAGTCAACTGCTTTTCAAAATAATTCTTTTATTAGCGTCAGTTGCGTGTCCATTAGTTCCGGCAGATACGGATCGTTACTGCGGTTACGGGTCGTGACCTCATGACAGGATTTTTCTCAATTTGCTGCACGAGTCCATTAGGGATGTTGTAATAGGTAGTACATCGTATCGCGTAAATTTCAGCATTTTTCTCCCTCGTAAGCATAGCTTTTTAATCAAGTGCGTGACCACTAGCCATTAAAAACGTAAAAAAAGCAAACCATGAAGGGTAAACCCGATATTGAATTCAAGTAATGAAACATGGAATATGCGTAGAACAAATTACCTTCGTTGGAAGTATGTAATCGAGCGGTTACAATTATTTATTTTTAGAAATCATTATCATCATTGAGTCATCATAATCTTCGCATTTCCCTAAAACTAGATTCCCACATCCTTAACTATTTGCGAATCGTAATTTAATCTAGGTCTATATCTACCCCTCCTAACTCCTGTTTCTGCCTCTAATATTTCTCTGACTAGACCTTCATGCCTGAGAAGGTGTCCTACCAACCAACCAATTCATAAAGCAGACGAACAACACGGGGGAAACTTCAATTGTACAACTTATTTTTTCCTATACAAGGTAAGATGTACAAAGAAGCAAATTCAAAACTAAAGTTTCGAAATGGCTCTCAATACCTGAAGTTTAATACAGTATTAGGTGGGTGTCTGATTTATGTGTGCGTCTACGTCTATACAGGGTCTTCCCCCAAAGACGGTTTCGTACATAACTCTGTTAGTATACATTTAATAAAAAAACATGTTTTTATAAAAATGATATATATAATGCATATACAGAAAATATTTTTAGTTATACCGGATTTTCCATTCCTTCTAGACGATATTTAAATTTATTTAGAAAAGAACACCCTGTATACATTTACATTTTTAAATTCATTATCATTATAAGATCGTCAGTCCTAAGACTGGTTGGACACGCACCTCCACTCTTTCCTATCCTGAGCTAATCTTCGCATTTCCCTAAAACTAGAACAGCCCACATCCTTAACTATTTGCGAAGAGTAATCTAATCTAGGTCTACCTCTATCCCTCCTAACTCCTGTTTCTGCCTCTAATATGTCTCTGACTAGACCTTCATGCCTGAGAAGGTGCCCTACCAAACTATCTCGCCTATTTCTTATTGACTTCCATAGATTCCTCTGTTCTCCTATTTTTTCTAATATCTCTTAATTTCTAACCTTCTCTAACCACGGTATCCTCTTCATTCGCCTGTAACACCGAATTTGAACGCTTCTAATCTTTTCTTTTCCCCAGAGTCAATTGTACATGTTTCGCACCCGTAGAGCGCCGCGCTGCAAACGTACACCATTAACAATCTTTTTTCGAATTGCTAAATAAGTCGTTCGAGAGCATAGAGGTGTCTCTTTTTTATTGAAGACTATTTGACCATGCGCTATCTATTCTCTGCTTTATATCCCTATTACTCCTTCCGTCCTGACGTATCTAACTTCCTAGATACCTAAAATCAGCCACATCTTCTAATCTTTCGTCTCCTATCTTTGTATTCACTCTTTCCCTACTTTTTCTAATTAATTTAATTTAATTTAAGTAATTTAAACAAAATTTTCTAATAAAAATGTATTACCTACATATATTATTCCAAATCAAAAATTATATAATTGATAATGACGCCAGGTTCCCGACATTGCTGCGTTATTCTACTAGAGACGAAAGAAAAAACCAACATGGGCAATGTACATACGTACGTGTGTGGTCATTTATTTTCATATCGATATCGTGCNTTATTCCAAATCAAAAATTATATAATTGATAATGACGCCAGGTTCCCGACATTGCTGCGTTATTCTACTAGAGACGAAAGAAAAAACCAACATGGGCAATGTACATACGTACGTGTGTGGTCATTTATTTTCATATCGATATCGTGCGACCAGTATGAAAAATGAGAAATATTTATCTGAGCTAATTGGTTTTAATATAACTCGATATTTCGAAATAAATCAGATATTTTTATCCAGTAGTAAGTGTAAACTACTTTTTGAACGGGACCTTCGTGAAGGTCGCCAGAATAAATACATAAAAAAGTACCCGTAGGGGTTTTGCCCGATACCCGGTTATTCAGTAGGTACACTCTGAATTGAATATCTACATCCTTTTTATACGTTGTTCTTTGTTCTTCGCGAATTCTTGAGGAATAAGCCTGCCGTGTAAAAAAAGTGTTGGGGGTGTAGGAAGATACGTAAATATTAATAATTATTAAATCTACAACCAAAAATGCGTAAATTACACCTACAGTAATAAATCTATTTTATTCTAGGAATGCCCCACACCAATCGACTTCAGAAGGCAGCAATGCATCTTTTTTAACAAATATCCTTTTCGAGGACAACTGTTTAGCTGGGAGCCATTTTTGCAAGGTAAACTTTCGTAATAGTCATTTCATGATATTAATTCTATTTCCATTAGTTACATGTATACATTTATTTCTATTTAGTATGTAAGTACACGTTTGCGTCCACTTTGGGGAGGTCCAGCCATTAGGAGAACGCTAAAAATTTTTCACATTTTCAGTATAATTAGTAAACGGAAAATATCTCTGGGAATGTTACTTAAATTTTCGAATCTAATACTAATGGTACGACATTAGCGCAGTCTATTGAGTAGAATTAGAACTATATGTGTTCCTCAAAGGGGCGTCTTTTATATAATTGCTACATATATTAGGATTTATAGGAACTGACTTCTCAGTCGACAAAATCAGTGAAGAATCAGACAAATTAATATTGGTCAACTTTGCTTAGTGCCAAAAGTGGTAAAAACAACCGTTATTGTGAGAGTTAGTAAACTTCAAGATTTACAGGAACTAATTTGTGTCCCTTCTTTCATCATCATCATGTCGTCAGTCTTAAGACTGATTGGACACGCACCTCCACTCCTTCCTATCTTGAGCTAATCTTCACATTTCCCTAAAACTATAACATCGTACATCTTTAACTATTTCTGAATAATTATCACTTCTAGATCTACCTCTACTCTTCTTAACTTCTGTTTCTACTTCCTATATATCTCTAACCAACCCTTCATGTCTATGAAGATGTCATGTGATTTATTTTTGTTGAAGGCGACTCTATATATCCTGTTTTATATCTGTACTACTCCTTCCATCCTGCGTTATCTGACTTCCTAGATACCGAAAATCAGTCACTTCTTCCAATTTTTCGTCTCCTATCTTTATATTCGCTCTTTCCCTACTTTTCTTCCCTACATTTTTTCCCTATAATACTGTTTTGTTAGGTTATTCTCTAACTCCTCCTTGCTAGATGCCAATACTGCTATATCATCCGCAAATCTAAGCATACTAATCTTTTGCCCCTAAAGTAGTCCTGTCATTAATGATGTTTATCGCGTCTTCGATGTTTAGATTAAAAAGTAAATTATAGGAACTGTATCTATTAAACTAATCGTAAGTACAGGTCTGACGAAGGAAGCTGGCGAGCGGTCGCGCAGGTACTTCCCGATTTATGACCTATTTGGGTAAGTCACTCGGAATCGATACACAAATAAGCTTTCAGTAGGCGTAAATTATAGTATTAATACAGATGGGACAGTAGCGTGCTAGAAAATAATGTAAAAACATGACTTATCAAAAAGAAAAAATTAACCTATTGCTTTCGTTTTATAGTTAGTTTTCACATTGACTGTCATCATGGGAATCTCTATCACTGTCACCAACATCAACAATTAGTTCTTCTGTTTGTCTGTCTATTACTTGCTCACTGATCCCTATTTTTAAATATTTAATCTACGCCCCTGATAGGAATACTGAAGAAAGAGGGCTGCAATCATTATACCTAAAACTGCCTACTTTTGCCACCGCGCATCCACGCCATTTTAAAATTTCCGCCAGCTTCCAGCGTCAGGCCTGTATGTAAGGTACTTAAAATGATACTTTCATTGAGGAATAGAAGAATCTCTTCAATTTATGTGGTAACAACTTCATTAGATAAACTTCTTTACGCCAGACGGTTACACGATGTAAAACAATAAGAATATTTGTATAAACTTGTCCGATGCTGTTCATTCTAACTTTATTTTATAGTACGTACATACGTTTCCTTTGGAGAAATGGCCTATAAAATGTTTTAAATGCATCCGAACTGGACAAAGAACAATAAACCGGCGCTGCGCGGCGTATGCACTTGGAAGTAATAACTATCGATCTCTAATTTCCTTTATTGTTTACTGCGGTAGTAAAAGTTTTGCGCCATCGGGTTACATACGCGCGCTTATTTTAACGCCGAAACATTATATGTAACTGACCGTAAATGTTGTCGGCGATGGCTAAAATGCAGTCGTCATTCTGTTAGCCGAAGATGTTCTAATGATGAAAGAAAATACTCCTGTTTGATGGCGTCGTATCTTATAATGTTCCAATCGCATCTGATAATAATTATTACAAAATAAATGTCCTAGCGTTTGGTGTATGGTATGTTAAAAATATCATTGGTAGAAAGGGTTAGAAATAGAAAGGTATTACAATGAGTAGTCCCCTATCCAGAGCGCTATAGCTATGGTTGGTAGGACACCATCTCAGACATGAAGAGTTAGTTCATCAGTTCACCATCAGTCATAAGACTGGATGGACACGCACATCCACTGTTTCCTATAGGGAAGTATTCTGTGCATTTCTCTTAACATATTAGATACCTAGAACAACCCACATCCTTAACTATTTGCGAACAGTAATCTAATCTAGGTCCATCACTACCCCCTAGCTCCTGTTTCTGCCTCTTATGTGTCTCTGACTAGACCTTCAAGCCTGAGAAGGTGTCCTACCAACGTATCTCGCCTATTTCTTATTGACTTCCATAGAGTCCACTGTTCTCCTATTTTTTCTAATACCTCTTCATTTCTAACCCTGTCTATCCACGGTATCCTCATTATTCGCCGATAACACCACATTTCAAACGCTTCTAACCTTTTCTATTCCGCTGCGCCCACCGTCCATGTTTCGCACCCATAAAGCGCCGCGCTTCAAACAATTACCTTTAACAACCTTTCTGAATTTCTAAATTAACCGTTCGCGAGCATAGAAGTGACTTATTTTTATTGAAGGCGACTCGACCCTGCGCTATCCTCTGCTCTCTATCCCTACTACTCCTTCCGTCCTGACTTATCTGACTTCCTAGAATCCAAGGGTTTGGTAACAGTCATTTTCCGTAAGGATTAAGCGGGGTTCTCTTCTTTATACCAATGTTATAGAATATCCCTACGTTTGCTTTTTAATTTTCTTATAATTACATTATATATGATATGTGTAAAAAAAGTATCATTAAATGTCCCAGTCGGTTTAAAGGAGAAAATTTCTATCAATAATGATGCCGAGCGCCTTCACCATAATATAATAATTTTCTGGATCTACCTGTGAACGATAATTTTTATTTTAAATTGCTTTTCTTTGTAAAATTTTTAATCTGCTGTGAGGTACATTAGACCAAAAAAAAATAGTAACTTAAAGTAGTTACATTTCGAAGAATTGCTTGACTTGAAAGAAATTAATACAAAACTAGGGGATTTGTTCGTTTTTAGACAAATAGATGTACATGCTATATTTAGAATGTCTGGCGCCTTCACCAAAACTTTACTTACAAAACTTTAAAACTTATTAATCGAGGATCATTACAAATAACTTGAATCATTTTAATATGAAATAAACAATAATATGTACTATAGAAACCATTAATTAAATTGGTCATATCGTAGAATTTAGAAAGACTATAGTTAATTTATAACCTAATATATTAAAACTATAATCTTAATCTACCTTATGCATAAAGGTGGAGCGTATAAATGGCCGCCTCACCACCTTGCATCTTCGCGATCTTGAATTCGACTCCTCGATTATTATAAACTGCGCTATTTAAACGGTCGCTGATTGGCCTACTAACACAGTAAGTAAGTAGGTGTTACCCTAGACAAAATTTTTCAGTCTCTCTCCAGTCTTTCAGAGTCTCTCAGAGTCTTTCAGCATCTCTCACGGTCTTTCACAGTCTCTCAGTTATTGCCTAGGTATTTTTATGGATCTCTCACAGTCTGTGTTTGGGAGACTCGAACGATAAAGTTGTTAATTCAGAGATACGAGTCTTTCACAGAGAAACTGAGTGAATAAAACTGAAAAATTGAGAGACTCGAGTCTCTCGTAGAAAGACTGGGATCTCTAAAATATGTTGAACTTAGAAAATTTTAACCATGTCTATCCAGACACCACTTATTGAAAGATTNTGAATGAATAAAACTGAAAAATTGAGAGACTCGAGTCTCTCGTAGAAAGACTGGGATCTCTAAAATATGTTGAACTTAGAAAATTTTAACCATGTCTATCCAGACACCACTTATTGAAAGATTCAAGTCTCTTATTGGGAGAATCGAGTTTCTCGTTCAGAGACTGGTTACGAAATGAGGATCTCTCTATGAACGACTCGAGTCTGTCGTTCAGAAACGCTAAACAGTTTTTTTGACAGTCTCTCTCGGCGACACCAGAGACGCTCGATGAGACACGGAGACTCAAGTCTCGCTTTGAGAGACTTTGAGAAACTGAAGATTTTTATCTCGGTAGCTTGCAGTTTTACGTAAATAATTTAAATGCACCAACTTTATACCAGTGACCTGTTGATAGGAAAATGGCATTACAGTAGTAAGATAAAATTGTAATAGATACTTAAAATTAGTTTCAGTCTTCTTGCGATTACGTTTATGTTCTTGCTTTACTAAACTGTAACGTTGACATTTCCTCTGGTAAGTTTATTACTTTTAAATTTCATTTCATGTAACCACCGCACTTATCTGTTTCACCTTTTCACAAATCTCCACAAGATCTCACCGTCAATCAAATAAATGTTAAGCTTGTTTGCATAATAATTACATCTGGTCGACGTACACGGCTGCTCAGTGCAGTTCCGTTACCATTTGTACGTTGGCAATTTTTGCTGATATCAAAGCATTCTTGATTTATGGGTCTCGAAATGCAACGTTACTGGCGCCATTACAATCGCTAGAATTATTTGCGTAAATTGTCCTTAGAACGTATAAAATAAAAGACGTATGTGCATAACTGTTTATAGATACATGTACATTGGCTTGTGTAAATTTACATTCAATTGTAGCATGTGCAAAATCAACATTTGCAATCGTGTTTGTGACGTTCGTACAAGTTTTTAACGAATTGATGGTTATGGATTTATTGGCAAGCGCACTCGATCAGTTTTTCACGTGAAATAATAAATAAATAAAGAATAAAATATGTTGATTATGAATATGTCGTTTCAAACGAATGATTTAGCCAAAAATTCGACATAAACATGTTCCAAAAACTTAAACGCCCAAGGTATCGCCGTCAGTCAGAGTCCTAACCTAAACTAAATTAATCTCATCATAAGGTCATCAGTCCTAAGACTGATTGGACATGCATCTCCACTCATTCCTATCCTGAGCTAATCTTCGCATTTCCCTAAAACTAGAACAATCCACGTCGTTAACTATTTGCGAACAGTAATCTAATCAAGGTCTACCTCTATCCATCCTAAATATCCATTCTGCCTCTAATATGTCTCTGATTCATGCCTGAGAAGCTGTCCTACCAATTTTTTATTGACTTCCATAGAGTCTTCTGTCCTCCTATTCTTTCTAATATCTCTTCATTTATAACCTCTATTCACGGTTTCCTTATCATTCGCCTGTAACATCACATTTCGAATGCATCAATCTTTTCCTTTCCGCCGTACCCACTGTCCATGTTTCGCACCCGTACAACGCCGCGCTCCAAACATACACCTTTAACAATCTTTTTCGAATTTATAAATTAACCGTTCGCGAGTATAGAAGTGACTTCTTTTTATTGAAGGCGACTCAACCCTGCGCTATCCTCTACTTTATGTCCCTAGTACTCCTTCCGTCCTGACTTATCTTACTTCCTTGATACCTAAAATCAATCATTTGTTCTAATCTTTCGTCTCCTATGTCTGTATTCGCTCTTTTCCGACTTTTTATTCCCTTGTGTACCAATATTTTTGTCATGATTTAATAGAAACTAGCAACTCCTTCCTGATGAACGAGAATTGTTTAGCCAGAAAATTTTTTGGGATAGAACATATATAATCAGTTTGTAATAAGAACAAAAAATTGTGAAATTTCTCGAAAGTTCCATAACTCCATAACTTTCTTGAGTATTCTGTAAAATTCAAGCAATTTCTCGACAGTTCGATCACTTCCGTACTCTTTGGGGAAGATGTCCAACAAACCCAGCGAATGAAGCAAATGTTTGCAACTAGTAAATTATTAGGATTCTAAAACCTACAGAAAGTGTCTCTCTGCTGGCTTTTGTTTATCTCGATCCAATTCAAATGCTATAGGCACTGAGAACGTATGACTTGAATTCCTTGTACTCCTTAATAGATTCCATCGCAAATTTGCATATTAGTCCTTTGTAAAATCGTCTTTACATGTTTATCTACATAATAATCGATTGGCGACGCAGAAACACGTTTTTTCCGTTACACAATTGGAAAAATGGACGGACACTGAATGTGTGTATGTTCCAAAACGGGAAAAATCACTTATTCCAGGTTTTAGAATAATAAATTAACTACAGTAAACCGTGTAAAAGCGCGATTTTATCGGCAAGGAATTTCTGTAAAAAAAAGCTCAATTTAAAAGAGAGATTTATCGCTACTCTAAAGAATTTATAGTTCTTGAATAAATTAAAGATAATTTTATTTTTTGTATTATTTAATAAGAAAATAGGATCTATGTTTTTGTCCTTCCAAGTATTTGAGGATTTTTTTAAGTCTGTTTTATTTATTTTATTTTATTTATGAAAAAAAAAATTGAGTGGTGGGACCAAATTGGATAATTAAATTTTCTTCCAGCTCCAGACGAGTGCGCTTTGAACTGTAGACCTTCTGGGACTAATTTCTTTGCAACTTTGAAAAAGACTGTCATCGATGGTACTCCTTGTTATCATCCCTTCACAGCAACAGGAAGGCCCGCCCCTCCTGGTACGAAGGGTATTTGTGTCGACCGCAAATGTATGGTGAGTCTTTTTGAAAATCTTTATATTCTTCGCCTACAGTTTTTTCGCATGAGGTAGTTTAATGCCTTATAAGAACTTCTAAAGTGTCGCATACGCCATAAGGGCGCGTTCCTATGTTCTGGTGATGTGCCCTGATATTCGGCACATATACAGAATTAAAAAAAAATAGAAAAGGAATACTGTAAATAACTTTAAATTGGTTTTTATTTCTTTTTGTTTTATTTGAGTTCGTGGGACTCTGCCTCGTTATCGTTATGATAAATTAATATTTTTTTTAATTGAAATTAATGGATTTTAGTTTATTATTTTTTATTAAATTGGTTTTTATTTCTTAAATTTATAGTTTTGGCATTTTTTATTGCTAAAATAAAATAAATAATTGTGGTAAATATTATGATAAATAATTGTCAAGCGAGGCGTATTACTACGAACACATGAAAGTACGAAAGTTGAAGTACTAATCCATATCCGTGTTCACGGATTTGGACATTAATAATCCGTATCCTTATCCGTATATGAGCGGATATACTTTTTTAATAATCCAGCACATGACGTGCTAATAAGTACTATTGAAAAAGTAGTAATCTATTTCTCCAAGTGTTATTTGACATTAACATTTTTAAAGTTTCCGGCAGTCATCCACATAAAGGTAGGTGGTAACATATCCTATTGTTATAAAATGATGTTTAAATTCTAAAAAATGATTCGCAAACTGTGAATTAGATTTTTATATCTATGTATCTAGGTATTAAAATGAGAAAATTTTAAAATATTTGTCAATTTGACCTAAACGAATCGGATTTCCTCTAAATATTAAACGTTCCTTAACATCATATTCAATATCCCTACTGAAAATTAGTTCAGGGAATCCGGATTATAGTCAGATCTAGATCAGATTTTCCGTAATACGGTCATCCGATCAGAGTACAGTCCTCCATCTCTTGATCTAGTGACCTGATCGGCGTACAGTATCCTTTTCATTGATCCGTCTATCTGATAAGGTTTTGATCAAAGTCCCTTGATCCAGTCATCTGATCAGTTCTAATATTACGAATTTCGGTACGTTGGTTAAAGCAAGATTATAGTCGATGTCTTTAACTGGATCATTAGTTTTTATCTGATCCATTCTATAGGTAATACTGTTTATCAAACAATAAATTTATTGTTAATGTTATGACTAAATTATTATGTTGATTCTATTATTAACATCATAATGGTTTTTAATAACATTTTTTAAAGTTAATTATAATATAATGAAACGGATGGATTGCATGGATCTCTGGAACGAATCCGACATGGATCTTTATGACATGGATGATGTCATTATGTATTTTAGACAGATACAGGACATTTTATAAAGAGTAATTGTTTTTCGTATGATTAATAATTAAAAAGTTTCCCATATGCTGCCAAATTGAGTAAACACACTGTATATGGCATGACGATTTATCTCTGATCGGTCTTCAAGCAATTCTGATCCGGATCGGACCCTATACTGAACCAATTTCTAATCGGAATTTCCGTCTAAGAAAACTTGCAGTTAGTTTTGCAATTCTATACTTTTTAAACGACTCGCTATATGATGTAATTTGAAAGATGTTAATATTGATGCATTTAGCGGCTTGTTCAAAAGGTCTCATAAAATATGCGTAACATGTGCGTCGTCGCAATTTGAAATAAAAAACAATTTTAATTACAGGAAGATTATTTGCCAAGCGGATTTCTCTTGAAAATGCGTAATTACATAATAATTAATCGCGAGTCTCATTGGCATGACCAATTCGATAATTACTAGATAAATGTGTTGGAAGACACTCAGTATTGTATTTATTTGTTTATATTGCCAGAAGCAAAACTGAATCTTTCACCACTACATTTAATCAATCACGATTTTATTGAAAATTATGAAATTTCACACCACCAATAGTATAATTTACATATATTTTGCTAAATATGATAGTGTAGTTAGGTAGATACATATAAATAGGTGACGTTGAATAATCAACGTAACATTATTTATCGATATAATTATAAACTTATTAGTTGCATCTAAAATAAATTGGATTGCGATGTCATCGCTTATTAAATATTTGAATTTATAATTGCGGTTTATAGTCAATTTTATTAATTATTGCGATCACCATACGTATAATGTTATGGTAAACGTAAAATTTGCTATATTCACACTTCAATGTGGCAATAATACTTTTTTTTTTTATGGAGTAATTGATGATAATGGCGATGTTTATTTTCGACCTCGTATATTACCACAATAACTTTTTTTTAAACGATGAAATCTACTAATTATTTTCGTTATTAAGAATATTTCCTAATTTGTTGAGAATTGTTGGACATGTGGCCTATTAAGGGAATTACCGGCAATGTTGCCAAATACGAAACGGTATTTTAATATTTTTGGATTGATTGAAAAAGGATTTGGTAGATAATAGTTCGACTTGTTTTTTCCAAAATAAACCCGAATGAAAATAAAAAGAATTGTAACGTCACAATATCTAAAATGACCTAAATTACCACCGAAATAGTTCCTACAAATTTTAATTCTAAAATTATAGGCAAAATACTACCATTTGAAACTAAAACGAAAAGAATAATTTTACTTGAGAAACAAAAAAAAGCTAAAGAATACCTTGATAAAGATTCCCAATTAGAGACGAAACGTCGGTGTTCTTCGCACAAATAAATATAACGTGCCCCCCTCGGTTACCACCAAAAATATGTGCCAAGACCCCCCCTACACCTCTAGTTTTCACGTAGGAATTTATAAATATAGTTTTAAATCATTTTTTGCAAACAAAAAGTTTCGAATATACGAGGGTGGATTGATAAGNACTTTGCTGGTTATTTTTCAATTGTTTATTAATTTTAACTTTTAACAATTCCTGTTTCACACGGACGAAGCCTGAACTATTGAAAGTCTGTAAATACTTTATGAATCTCAATGCTGGCCTCTTGGTTTTTTTGAACCTTTCCTGCTGGCTTAAAAGTGGATCATGTCTTGCAGGAAAAAATCATAAATCAAATCAATTTTATTCGTGCTGACAGGTTAAACACAAATCTTTATTTAATAACTGTTACAAACATAATCGCAATAAGACAAAGCCAGTTAATATGGTGTATGTACAGTTGACAAATGTCACAACAAACAGTCAGTTTAGATTAGATCCTTCATTTCACAATGTTTAACAGTAGGTAAATGTGATTATAAATTCCATACAAGTGTCTGACTCGTTCAAAAATTACATGATAAATTTGAACGTGAAAAATTACATTTTTCCGGACTGTTGAAAGGCTGTTAACAATGAGAAGTTGAATTTAGTATGGACTGCCTTTTTTTTTGGATTATCACAATTGACATTTGTAGTACAATTAGTTGAGTCTCAAAAATTGATACTAATTGTTACTGAAATTTTTAGAAAGGTAGATATTAATTAAATACGTAATCAACTCATCGACGGTATACTTATTACAATTAGAGTCTTAAACAGCCTTCAAAATATGTTATTGTCTATCAAAACTTTTTTAAAATTATAAGCAATGATTTAATTTCGAGTTTGCTGTTTCCTTATAGTTTTCCTGATTTCGAAAAAAGTGTATGTATAGGTATACTTCATTTACTTTCCCTAGCCATGGGCCCCTTCCAATGTCTTGGAGGCGCGCTGACAAAATCGTAGGTAGGGAAAAAAAAGCTCATTATACTCTCGACTCTTGTTCATTAAACATACTTCTTCATACAGTACCTGCCAAAAGTTTGGTTCAATCATGAATAGTAGTGCGAGTCGAAAACAAGCATGAATGCCTTTAATATGTCTTCAAATATAAATAAACAACTCGTTGATATTTTCAGTAGTAATTGGTACCAATAACAGCACATTTGAGCAATGCAATTGTAGCGGATAAAATGGTCAATTTTTCCGTGCAGTACTGCACGGATTATACGCTCCTCACCGGTTAAGAGTTTGGACGAAAGTTGTCTCCTTCCTTTTCTGGCCTAGTGCTGTTCTTTTCTACTTTGCGCCGGTCAAACTGAAGGTCACATCGCTACAGAAAGTAAACGAGGTATAGTTACAGAAATGAATATTTTAAGACATAAAAAATGTTTATTTGATTCGTCACCGCTTAAACCTCTTAAAAGCATTTTGATGACTAATCATGTCCGAAAAGAACCAGGCAAATGCCCTCAATGACTAATCGTAAGTAAGAAAAAATTCATAATTCACGGGGAGACAATGCTACATCTGATCTTGTCAGTTATTACATATCTACATACGTACATACGTTTATTACCTGTCTCAAAGGTGTGTCAATTTACAAAGTATTTTGGAGTGATCCAATCGGATCTCATTCTCGATGTAATTCTTAACAGTGGAATTCGTTTATTATGACTCCGTCTATATTGACCAAGCGCTTAATATGAAGTAATTGCAGTGTTAACGATTTTTGGGAGGTATGTCAAAATGCTACGAGACAAATAAAAATTTGGAAGAACGTTCCTCGTTTAATTCTAAAACTCCTGTAAAAATTACAAATCGATTCACTAAACCATTAAAAAGTTATTGAAATTTTAAAAAATTGTAATTNATAGCTACAAGCTATCCAAGGATGGTACTATAGAATGTCACCTCAAGGTAGGCCTAGTGGCGTCATCTCTTGGTTAGGCCGGAAACTTATCAATCCACCCTCGTAGCTCGAAAAAACGTGAGATTTTCCTGGTAGATATTGACTACGTGACGAAAACCGAAGCCCCTGTGGTATTTTTTAAGACCCCCTCCCCCTAAGGGACCTCATAGTATGGGTACGTTCCCCTAAGTCGAGTTTTTGACACCAAGTTGCGATTTAATTTCCGCTAATTACCGTGATCATGTCTCAGCGTCTTCTCCAATTAATAACAGTTCCATGGACGGATTAACTTACAGAGAAAACTTAATAAGAAACGGAGCCGTTGCCTGACCGATAGATTAATTAATCTTTTAATTTCACAGAAGTTTGTTTGTTTGTTTATTGTTCGACTTAAAGTGACGAAAAAATTTTGCCATTTC